ATTTTTATATTGTCTTTGCATTAGATTCGCATTGTTCTTATATTGTTATATTGTCTTTGCACGAGGTTGGCATTGTCTTTATATTTTTATATTGTCTTTGCATGAGGTTGACACTGTCTTTATATTTTTAATAGTGTCTTTGCATTAGATTCTTATATTGTCTTTCCACTAGGTTGGCATTGTGTTGACATTTTTATATTGTTTTTGCATTAGGTAGGCATGGTCTTGACATTTATATATTGTGTTTGCATTAGGTTGGCATTGACTTGACATTTTTATATTGTCTTTGCATTAGCTTGGCATTGTGTTGACATTTTGATATTGTCTTTGCATTATGTTCGCATTGTCCTTATATTTTTATATTGTCATTGAATTAGCTTGGCATTGTCTTGACATTTTTATATTGTCTTTGCATTAGATTCGCATTGTCCTTATATTTTTATATTGTCTTTGCATGAGGTTGGCATTGTCTATATTTTTATATTGTCGTTGCATTAGCTTGGCATTGTCTTGATATTTTTATAGTGTCTTTGCAATAGATTTTAATATTGTCTTTGCATTAGGTTGGCATTGTGTTGACATTTTTATATTGTCTTTGCATTAGATTCGCATTGTCTTTATATTTTTATATTGTCTTTGTATGAGGTTGGCATTGTCTTGATATTTTTAATAGTGTCTTTGCATTAGATTCTTATATTGTCTTTGCATTAGATTGGCATTGTGTTGACATTTTTATATTGTCTTTGCATTAGGTAGGCATTGTGTTGACATTTATACATTGTCTTTGCATTAGATTCGCATTGTCTTTACTTTTTTTATATTGTCTTTGCATGAGGTTGGCATTGTCTCGATATTTTTATATTGTCTTTGCATTAGCTTGTCATTATCTTGATATTTTTATATTGTCTTTGCATTAGTTTGGCATTGTTATGACATTTTTTATATTGTGTTCCTGAGCATGTGACAAAATTATAGTTGTTAAAATCACAATTACTATATGTGATGAAACTGTCTCATGGGGTCCGGCTTCATCAAAATGTGATCTGATCGTGCTATGACGGAAGCTTGTCTGGCTTTGCGTGATGCAGGTATCATAATACATGGGCTAGGCTATTTGATTCCGCATAAGTTATGATAATGCAACACAAGATATAATAATGAAAATTCAAAAAATGTCAAGACATAATAATGAAAGTTCAAAGAGAAAACGCCAGAACATAATAATTATAAAGTTCAGAAAATGTCAAAACATAATAATAAAAGTTCAAAAAATGACAAACTTAATAATCAAAGTTCAAAAAATGGTAAGACATAAAATGAAAGTTCAAAACATTTCAAGAAATAACAATGAAAGGTCAACAAATTTCAAGACATGATAATAAAAGTTCAAAAAACGTCAGGTCATAATAATGAAAGTTGAAACACTTTCAAAATGTAAATGAAACGTTTAATATACAAAGTAGAATTATAGTCTAATTATTATTACAAAATATGAATAATAATATTAATATACAGAATATAAAATATAAAAATAGAATATACAATTTTCAAAACAGTATTGCGTGTACTATAATATTATACGAAGCTACTAACAACATTTTACGAAAAGTTATATTGAATATATTTCTGAAATGAAATATTGAGTTTAAAAAAGAAATTGCATTTACAAATGATATAGACGTTGAGTTATTGGATATCGATTTCATATGTGAATTTAAGCATAATATGGGGTAGATTTATTGTTTTAATTCACTCTGCCTCGTGAATATACATTATGTATCACATTTTAACACATGAAATGAAGACATTTCTCAAAACGTTAGCTGCCGACAAAGATCCAGGATTATAAAATGCATTTTGTCTCGTATCTCCAGCTTTACGCCGTTAGGTACGCAAATTGAAATATACATCCGGGACTACGAATCTTACAGCCTCGTTGTCATCGTACGCTGATCAGTTCCTTCACCGTTGTTTGAGAGAGTACATTTCAAATATCGTCGTGGGCGTTTCTATTGCTTCGGGATAACATGCAAGGTTTCGAAGTATTGATTACCTACATATGAACAGTTAAAATTGTACTTTAATTGGTTCAACATTGTGGCACAAAAAACAATTGCTGCACCAACCAAGTATATTGGCTTACGTGACACTTTCCTTATCTTAGTGAATATGGAGCAAACTACTGAAGGAGCACGAGAATTTGATATATTCTACATCGACTATAAGGATTACTATGAATGTATTTGCTATCCACAGACGTGTGCTGTTGATATTCCCGATTACATACATCTTAATGTTACTAGTGAGGAACATCTATTCTCATCCTATCTATATGAAGATTTTGACCGTTCTTTCTGCGACCAAAATGATATCACCACCACTGGAAGAACTGCTCTGATTGCCGTGTATACTTTGACAATTACATTAGCCTTAGTTGGCAACATTGTTACTATTCGCGTTCTAGCCGCTGGATCTAGAGCCAAATTAGAGATGAATAAGTTCCTGATCAATCTGGCCATTTCCGATATCATGATGGCAGTGTTCTGTATGCCTTTTACCTTCGTATACGCCCTGTTAAGACGTTGGATATTTGGAGAAGTGTTGTGTCCCCTTATATTTTTCACACAGCATGTAAGTATTTGCGTCAAGTGCCAGTGTGACATCTAGCATGTTTTCACGGCTAACCGTGCACGAAGGTTCGCTCAGTTATATATATATTTCTCATATGTCTGTGAGAGCATTATACGTAAATATTTATGACCTATTATTCAATATGACACTTGATGGTGTATTTGAGCGTGCAAAGTCACATGGTTTTTCATTTCCATAATGGGCAACATAATGCTGCTGTCCCTATAATGTTTTGCTTTTATCATGGATTCACCAGTTTAGTTTTGGTGATATGAATGAAATGTGTCGTCTCATTTCATCTTGAAATTCCCCCTGAATAGAGACAATATGTTGATGTTGTAACTTTGTCTTGCCTAGAGCGGCCAGGAAAATTGGAAATTGAGAGTATATTAGAGCTGAATCCACAAATAATAAGATGTGGCCCATTGAAATAAACAAGTTACACTCACAGATCCATTTGACAGAATGAGTTCTCATTTTTTTCAAATTTATTATTTAGTTGTTTTACAAGTATTAATTGGGTGCTTGTTTGTATACTGAACAATAATTTTTACACACTAATAATTCTCATACCACGAAATATTTATAATATAATTGGTCGTCCAAACGGGTTCAACTGAAGATTAGTTTTATATACATTGAGGAAACAAAATGAGAGAGATAAAGATTAAGTTGAGTTATTGAGTTAGATACCATCAATACCGTGATTTACAACAAGTGCCCGACGAGCCACAGTCTCAATAAATTAGACAATAATATAATAGAAAACGATAACAAGATTTAATGGCGAACAAACAACGCTGTCTTTGTGCATAAAGTCAGAGTGATACCGACCACTGAATGAATAAAGCTTCAAAAAGGAAACACTTACACAAACGCCCAGGCAATAAAAATATGGCGTAGCATCCAATTACATATTTCATCGTCACATGAAAGAAACCCTTTTAATATGGTTCTTATCCATGTTTGTTCCTGCTGTACAACGTTCGGATTCATCACTGAAAATACGGAGTCGAACTATGGTCAATGCAGTGTCGGAAAAACCTGACCATGTATAGAGCCCTTTCCTGTCATAATATCTGAATAAACCTTGATGTATGAACCGCTAAAGTAGGCAATTTAGGGTTTATTTCCACCCATAATCATATATTTTCATTTATCTATTTATATTGCCATTTGCCCATTTTGATTTTAAAATATTCTTTATATATTTCATTACAATTACTTTTATTTTGTACTTGTAAATTATCATTTTAATTTAATTTAATATTTTCATCCTTCTTTTCATATTTCCAATTTTGTTCTTGTGTTTTTTAATATCACATTGGATTTGTTGTAAATCCACTGTTAATGTTTTACTACTATGAATTGTGTAACAGAAAAATCGCATTTGTTCTCGTCTGTAATAAGACATGATGTAACCTTTCAATTTTGCAACTGCTTACCTAAATATAAGACCCACTCTCTTCTAACTTAAATATATAATAGAAAAAAAAAATATATTCGGTTATCAGGCTTCATGTTTATTTTACGTCTGGTTTCTATCCTACACGTAGATTTTTGCGATATAAGTATAGTGACATAATAAAAAGTTACATGTTATCTTTCTAATTCTACTTGTACAGATATTAACTGTAACAGTATTTAATTGCTCGTCTCGTTTTAGTTTCTTCTCTACTCAACGACCCGATCTTTTTCCCGCATACATAACGTGGTCCAATAATATACCTGAATATTATAATGAGAATGTTTTGATATCAGGTTATTTAGATGATTTTAATTATAACTTTTTATTGCATTTTTATCACTCATTTGCATTTGTTCATCATGGTAAAATGTGTAAATTTAGCGGATTGATTAACGGACAATTAGCGAAGATAATATACCTCTTTGTTTGACAATTACCGGTTGCAATTACATGACTCAAACTGACACTGCAATGTTCTATATTTAATTAGTATTTTTTTTCGTTTCATTAATAATTAAGAAACTGCCTAAATACGTTGATACGATTGTTCGCTTCAAAATGGATTCACATTTACAAATGGTTAGAGGCTACAGTAGCCAAGTATTGGTTTAAAAATAGTTTACCATGGTTAATGGAAATTGTCATGTGAATTGAAACACGTGTTTGTATTTAAATTATCCCGGGTTTGTACGCACTGCTAGCAAACACTTCTATTTCAGAGATATTCTCATATTTTGTAATCAGAAACAAATATACTAACGAGAAGCAGAACTACTTTATTATATTGTATTTTTATCTTTCAGCTTTCCCCATTTGTCAGTATATTCACGTTGACTGCTATTGGGATAGAACGATACCTGGCTGTCGTGAGACCCATGGGAAGACACGTTTCCAGGCCCCACACAAACGTCATTCTACTAATGATATGGGCAATATCGGCATCTTTATCCACTGTGCAATTAGTTCTTGCACGCGTCAAGAAAACCGATAATTCAAACAACACTATAATGTGGGAGTGTGACGAATGGTGGAATTCTTCTCTTCACGAGACTGTATATGAAATATGTATTCTAGGCATAACGTATGTCATGCCGCTCGGGGTACTCTGGTATAGTTATCAACGAGTGGCGTATGTATTATGGAAACGAAAGTTACCTGGTAACGCAAATGGGAAACGTGATGCATTACACTCACGGGCAAAAATTAAGGTGAGTCTGTTCACTTTTTTAATCATATATTTAAAAACTTTTAAAACCTTAAAAACTTAATAAAAAATAATAGTCTATAAAAAAAATTCAGTACACTATCGAAAATAGAACATCCACGAAACATAATAAAATAATTAAACTCGCTAATTCATTACCAGGTAGAAACAAATTCTTTATATATTCTCCAGGTGGATTGTAGAGGCAGGTTTCAAGGCGAATAAAACTGCTGTACTCGGGCTCTTCTAGGAATAAAGTACACGCCTCAATAAAACGGCCGTTGACCTCAACCTATTATCGCGTGATCTCTGTAAATTCATACTTTTGTAGATAGTAAATTCAATCGTGCCCCGTGACCTTATGGCAGTTTCTTGACTGTATCTCTCATCATTGTAATTGTTGAGGAACGTAGTGGGAATGCAGATAATGTCCAGACAAATTATAGGACATATCAAGTAAAATAACAATGCCAGGAATAAATTCTTCGGAATAAAATAATCCTTATTAAGCATAAGTATATTGTTAAATTGAAGAAAGTTGAATGGTTACCCATAGCAGACCATTGCACCAACAAATCTATCTTGAGTGTTATAGTAGCATTCTTAGTTCTGAATCACAGTTGAAAATTTAACTAGTTTTTTTCCTGTTGCTATCTTAAACACTATTCACTGTGTGTAGAATTACATTTTACATTCGACTTACGTGGCTTCATTTTGAGACTTGTATACAAGAAACATTCTAACACACGCTTGAGATCATTGAAGTGATAACGTGCCAAGCATACTTTTATTCACTCTAGAAAGAACGTTTTTTTTCTTAGTGTTGCTTAGTGAAGATGATCCATACAGTTATAACGAGTTATACAATTCCTAGGAGCGAGTGTACTTGAGAGAAAAAAAAAACAATTAGATTTTGGCACAGATGATGTAAAAAATTTGTAAATCTATAACTCAAAAACTTAAGAATGGATTCCCACAAATTATCGTTTATCGAGTTGTTGCCATTGATCTCTTTATTAGAGAGTCAGATATGGTTGCCATAGAAACAATTTCAGGAAGTATCTTCCATTCATAACTGAAACAGTTTTGAACGTGTTTTTATAACATTTGCCCAAGAAAACTACAATTCATTAAATGTTAAGTTTATTTTTTTACCACAGAAACTGCAATTTCAGTATTTTTTTTAATAATCATAAATCAACAAATAATTATTTGATTTTCAGTAAACCTTCAGAATAGGGGTTCTTTGGAAACTATCGATTATATTGTGCTAGAAATTTGGATCTGGTTGGCAAGACAACATTTTCGGACTGATTAACTATTTATGCCTACAAAAGTTATAGATGGATTTTCTCTTTAGCTGTTGCAATCGGTAATAGGTAGGAATTCGTTGCCATGTAAACGAAAATATAAAGGTTTGTTATTTAATCAGCACCCAAGCGATTAGATTCGTCACCATTGCATACTTAATAGGGCACGGGTATTAGTAAGGACATTTAATTTGCACTTCTGACGAATGTTTGCGCTCCTGGAGTGCCTTTAATATCAATAAGAAACGCAATATTAAAGTGCTTCATTTGTAGGTTTTTTTCAGTTGCAAGTCCTTTAATTTCCGAATTATTTTTGATGGTGAATCCGAACAACTGTAATCGATTCACTATAATTGACTGTTACCGACGATGTCCAAACAAGACCCGCTTATATTATATTTATACATAGGCTTAAATGCAAACACTAATAAGAGAAGTGACTTCCATTGCTGTATCGTTGGGTATGACACTATGTATGGACAAAAACAAAACATCTAAGCGTCATCACTGATACATTGGCACTGTTTGTGGGACAGGGTACACACAAGGACAATGCAGGGGGTTCTTTTGTCAAGCGCCGTTATGTCTAAGGCGTTACTTGGCGATAGTTCACACTGACAATTGTATATTGTACACCCCCTCATCTCGCCAATGTTTACTGAAATCCAATTCATCGCGTTATACAACATATCCAGAGGAACAAAATCACAAAATACAGAAATTGTTTCTCTGAGAGTATTAGGTTTTATGTTCTGAACGATAGAAGGATAGAAGACTCCCGTGTTGCCTAAATGCATTGACGACTGAAGTCATGATATAGATACTAGTTGGAAAGATAATTGTCTTATTAAATAAACTAATGCTGGGATATTTGGTACAATCATGTAATTAAATGAGTCAGTTGATATGGTTTGCCTTAAATTCCAAATGTTGGCAACGACACAGTTATTAATGGTATAATCAGTTATACAATTCCTAAGGAAACAGTGCTCGAAATGACCGATATCAATTTATATTTGCGAATGCCTGAATATGTCGCACTGATAAGTTATAATAACAATAACAAAACTATCATAATCCATCAACTCCTATCACATGGCACAATATTACCGTATCGACGTCATAAGGATGATATATGTTACCTCCATGAACGTAAGTCATAGTTCAGAGAAATTGATACGTAATGTCATTATGCGCCATTAGATATGATGCATCGCACATTGCACAAATAATTGATCACAAACACCATATTTTACTGCCATAGCAGACTAATGATGAAAACAACTGAATCACACAATGTTTACACTTTCTGCTTGAGCAGTATCCATTTCATGTCTGCAAATATTTAGCTACCCGGATTTTATGTGATTGTAAATGCCAAAATCTTCTAGTGAAATATACACACACTTAGATGATTCTTTGGGTAGAAATACAAATACTTCAAGTAATGGATAGACATTTGTTAAGCGATACTTATAATCGGCATACATAATTTTGTTTGAAGCAAGCACACTAGACATGCACATGTAATATGCCGTTCCCTGTACATTCCCAGTGACTCTCATTGCCCATAGTTGTATTTTATACGGAACGGTACGTTGATTTGTGTTTTATTTTCTGACGAAGATTGACATAGAATATTAGCTCTTTTTGACGATGACACTGCTTTACTTTGTTCTTTAATATTGAATTGTAATATTATTAAAACAATTTCGCATTAGCAACTCAGTTCAAAGTTACTATTGTGCCTGTTCATTTAATATTCAACATGGCCGCCGATATCTCGTCGACAGCGAGAACGTCACGTGACTTATTTTGCTACAAAAATAGTGTTAATTTTTTACAGTCTAGTGTTGCTCTATTCTATGTACCAATTATATTTATAACAGCGGTAGTGATGACGGGAAAATATAACACTATTTGGAGACAAAACCAATTCTCATGCTCTCAATGAGATCTCGCCGCCCATTTCCGTCTAAGGTCTATGCATCAGGTCTAAATCTGCTACTAATATGAAATTAAGTTCCTGTCGAATTGCAAATGAAACGCGACACATTCAGTGAGGTTATGATCACTCTCCTATATTTCGTAGTGTACGTAGTGTACCATCTGTGGCATTATCTATTGTTTTACCTCATGACCATGAAATTAGGTATATACACCATGATACAACTCGATAAAATTCAATTATTGCTATTGAACTCTCTCAACTTGTGATATATATGCACACATGCATTCAGTTCTAGGAGGTTGACCTGAACGCCTCGGTTGAAAAAAGCTCTTCCGGTTACTGACACTGTATGTCCAACTCATCGGGGTGAACATTTGTGTAATGTTACACTCCATGCTATGTAAATTAGTTTACATCAAGCGCTGAAAGCCATTACTCATTATTTATAATGTCAGTAGCTATTCCGTGTTTCATATATGTCAATGTATTAATGATAAAAACAGAATGTGTTTATCTTGTACCCAAGGCATTACGAGTATACGAAGGTATCCCATTTCATTTCGTAATTTGTTCCCATCATTTGTTGTGAATAACAAGCCCATCATTCAGTTATACATTAGTAAGCATTTGCTATGCTCACATAATAAGCAAGAGTTTATCATTATCATGAGGCTTTCATCAATTGGTGCAAACTGATTTACATAGCATAGAGGGTAACATTACACAAATGTTCTCCCCAACAGAGGTGGACATACAGTTTTAGCGACCCGAAAAGATCTATTGCTCTTGTTTCAAACAAAAATATATATGCCGCGACTCGATCACAAGTATCGCTTACCGATTCATGTGACTGTTACTGATGTAACGTACATTGCAATATTTAAGCCACTTTTTCAGATTTTAAGGTAAACATTTTAAGGTAAACTTTTTTTATTGTACTTAATCTATTAATCTTAGCGCGGCTATCCATTGTTTTTTTTAATTGTGTTCTGATCTGTTCATTCATTTTAACTTGCTGGACACGTCTGAAGAAATCGATCAGCAGACCGTTTAAATGTAATCTTGGGATAGCTACATTTCTATTGATAAACCAATTTTAGAAAACCAAATTTTAATTAGTTATACGAATAGAACAA